GAAGGGTTCTCACCAATGGGGCTATGTAGCTCAGTTGGTATATACCCATGGACTCCTGAAATACAGACGCAAGTTGGAACCCAGATGTACTCAGATGAGTAGAATAAAATAATTCTGATTTTCCTGGGGCCGGTCAGCTCTCAATGATGAGATATCTAAAGGCCGTCGTCTTTTTTTCTTTTTTTTAATTAAAAAGAAAAAAAGGAAAAAAACGGAGGGTTCTCGTTTCTAGCATACTGTTTGGTAGGCTACTGTTTCTAGCATACTGTTTTCTAGCATACTGTTTTCTAGCATACTGTTTTCTAGCATACTGTTTTCTAGCAAGAACCTGGGCATTTGGGCGGGAAAAGGATTGTGGGTGCATTAATCACCAGTGTTGTTGTACCTTTTTTTTCAAGTTTTTTTTTTTAATTTTTCTTTGGCATTTTATTTTCTTTTGAAGCCCCTAGGTTGGATCCGTTAGATGCAGTGGTGAGAGTGTGTCACACATGTCACACACTTCGCTTGGATGTTAAGCTAAATTCCCGCTACCGTCTTCCCCCCCGAATACAACGCACCCTGATTATGACTGCATCAAACCGAGAAGATGGCTTGTATACATTCAGAATCAGGGTGCGTAATATTCGGGGGAAGACGGTAGTGGGACTTAGTCCCCCTAGCCTCTGTGTGGTTCGCCCTACGGACTTTTTTTTTTTCTTTTTTTTTTTATAACTTAGACCATTTCGCGATTTATGCGTGTCATCCTTCCGCAGGGGCCATGCTAATCTTCTTTCTCTGTATCGTTCCAATTTTAACGGATGTACCGAAGGACGACTCTTTAATTTACTGTTTACTGTATTCTTAATTCTAAATTTCTTATAATTTTTTTCACTGTTTCCCCGCCCAGCCCTCTGACCTGTCCATTTGGCGATTAACCTATTATTTATTTATTTTTTTATTTTTTTCCCTCTTTGTTTTTGGTCCCACTTCCATGGTCTACGTCCTATCGTGATCCCCCGAAAGAAGGCACCCCCATTTTGGCTGTACGTGACTGGAAATACGGCTTGTATACATTCATTACCAGAGTGCGTTATGTTCGGGGGGAACACGGTAGTGTGAGTATGCCGTGAATTCGTGAAAGTGGGATCTCGCCCCCGGTTAGTCATCTATTAATTTACGAATTTAGTAATAATACTAATAAATTCATAATCATATTATAATGGCATGAATCATTGTCATCAAATTAATACAAGATTATTGGAAAAAAATAAAATAAAAACTGAATATTTAAAAAACTATTTTATAGTTGATTTATCGCTCTCCTTCAGGAATGGAAGAAGAAGTGGGCAACGAAGAACGGGAAGGAAGATTATAAGAATGTAAGAAATTTCTAAAAAAAACACTGTTTATTATGAATGGGAAGCAAATGAAAACGGAGGAGGAAGGATGAAGAGCAGGAGGAGGAGGAGGAGGTGGTGGTGATCAGGAAGAAAAAGTGTACCGCCAAGACGCTACAGTCTTCCCCCTAATACAACGCACAGTGATTATAGCTGAATTTAGACTGAAAGAGACACCAAATTCAGCTATAATGACCGTATGTTGTATTCGGGGGAAGACTGTAGAAGTCTTAAGCTGCAATGGAAGTGTTCCGCCGAGGCGCTAGCTACCGTCTACGCTCACTCATTATAGCCGTATTTGGTGCAATTTTCAGCCCAGGTACAGCTATAATTACCGGGCCTTCTATTCGGGTGAAGACTGTAGTAAGGAAGTAATTGAAAATTTATAGTGGAGGAAGAAGAATAGCAGTAGACCATGAAGAGCAATGGGAAGAGAAAAAAAAAAAAAAACCCCGAAAAAGGAGAATAATTGAAAAAAGCTAAAAGGAGGAGAAGGAGGAGGAAGAATAGAATAGAATAGAATAGAATAGAATAAGAACAGAATAGAATAGAGTAAGAAAAAAAGCGAGGCCAAACGTTAGTAGTTGAAGGAGCAATAGATTGTCATATCATTAAACCAGCTCAGACATAGAAGAACTTAGAAATGCGCACATTCCCCGAGGCATTTCGCCTGGCTGCAATCCAGGACTCGTCATCAAGGGGCAATTCACCTGAAAGACTATCTATTACTGGAGTGCAGCCAGGCGATACTCTCGTTGGGGAATGTGCCGCGTTTCGCCTGGCTGTGGCCCAACGAGTTTCTGAGCGCTTCTATGTCTAAGCTGGTTGAATGATAAGACTATCTATTGCTGGAGTGCACCCAGGCGAAACGCGGCAGGGATGGCTATCTCCCGCATCCACCTGAAAGAAAAAAGAAGAAGAAGAAGAAGAAGAAGAAGAAGAAGAAGAAGAAAAAGAAGAAGAAAGGATGAAGAAGAGACCTGGGTGAGTGATTGTCTTCACCGGTACCTTGAGGGCAGTGGTTGGTGCCCACCTCAAGGTATCAGGTGCCGGGCAGTCGTTGGTGCTTAACCACAACCGCGGACCGGGGTTAAGGTGGATTGTCACTTACAGTGCAATCAGTTAGGGGATTCTGCAGACTGTTGAGGGTTCAGCCTCTTGATGAGTCGGTGAAACTCCGACGAAACATTTTGCCACAGCCCCTCGTTTGTTCTCCTTTTCTGTCCCTCCCTCTCTGCCTACGGTTTACCGTAGGCAGCTCTGTTTGACTATATATATATACACAGCCCCTCGTTTGTTGTCCTCTTCTCCCTCTCTGCCTACGGTTTACCGGGCAGTTCTATTTGACGATATATATATATCGTTTTGGGCCCAGCCGGGCAAGTGGTCCTTGGCCACTCTGGTAGCCTATAATTGTAGTTGATTTTATTTAATTAATGTTTGATTGATTAGAATCATTATTAGTATAGGAATATTAAGGGAAAAAAAAAGAAGTTTAGGACTCCAATAGACATCGCCTGCTATTATTAGTATATGAATGCCGGGACTGTTTTCTTATTTTGAATGTATTTTTTGGGGGAGGAGGAGGGGGGGTTACCTCATAATTTTATTTAGATTTGTTGTAATCATTTTCCATGTTTAGGCCTTTACTTGAAAGGACGACGTTTAAAAAAAAAAAAGAAAGAGGACGACGTCTGTTGAGGCAGTCTGTTGAGGCTGCTCGGTTGCAGTCGGCACTGTCGAACTGTTTTTTTGCGTTTTTTTGTTTTTGTTTTGGGAGTGACTCTTTTGTTTTGTTTTTTTGGGGGGGGGGGGGGGGGGGGGGGGAGTCGGCCTTTTTTTGTTTTGTTTTGGAAAGGACGACGTCTGTTGAGGCTGGCTGGACAAACGCTCATTGATTGACAGCTGGCATCTAATCAACGCTCATTGATTGACAGCTGCCGTCTAATCAACGCGCTTATGCTGCTGCTGCTGATGATGATGACTGCTTGGTGCCGTCCACCTGGCCAAGAGGACAGCAATTCAACGAAGAGCGGCTTTGTTTGATCAGTCAGCCTTTCATCACCTGCTCACACAAAACTCTGACACGTCAGCATAATCTCATCTGATCACTCAGGGACTCCCGATCAGACTCGGAGCCAACCAATTGCACTGATGCTGTGCGCCGATGCTGCTATTAGTGTGTGCAGGAAATCGCGAAGGGGCAATTGGAGAGAGAGAGAGAGAGAGAGAGAGAGAGAGAGAGAGAGAGAGAGAGAGAGAGAGAGAGAGAGGTCCAATTTGGTAGATTGCGTTGTGTGTTAGAGAAAGTGGTCTTCCACCTTCTCTCTCTCTTTGTCTCTCCCAGTACAGCCGATCTGCTTCTGTTTGGCGAGTCTATGTAGTGAGCAAGTTCTTTGGAGTGAACAGAACAGGTCTGTAAACTTTATGGATTGTGGTCTACATTCCGTTTGTTCATGTAAGGTTACGTTAAGTTACGCTAGATGGCGGTAAGGTAGTTTACGCAGTTTACGTGTTGTGAGTGGTCGTCGATCTGTTTTCTCTCTCTCTCTCTTTCTTCTCTGTGTGCCAGTACAGCGAAAATGCTTCCATTTCATGAGTCGATAGTGAATGAGCTCCTCGAGCAAGATGGAGTTGTGGTTATGGCTGCCGGCCTGGGACTGCATAAGGTCATTGCGGCGTTGCTTCGTCTACATCACAAGTCCTCTGTCTCTGCATCTTCTTCTCCTTCTTCTTCGTCTTTGGCGTGCTGCTCTGAGGATTTGATCCTCATACTCTGCGCCTTCGATTCCCAAAGGCAGGTGATAAGGCAAGAGCTGCTCCTGCAGGACCCTGCCGCCCCTGACCTGCGCGATATCAGCAATGAGATCTCGGCGTCGGAGAGGGTGAACTTGTACAAAACTGGTGGGTGCTTCTTTATCACCTCGAGGATCTTGGTCGTTGATTTGCTGAATGAGAAAATCCCTGTCCAAAAGATCACCGGCGTAATCATTACCAACGCGCATCGTGTGAACGACACGTGTACAGAGGCCTTCATCCTGCGCCTCTACCGATCTGCCAACAAAAAAGGATTCATTCGTGCGTTTTCGGATAGACCTCAGTCCTTCTTAGGTAGCTTGAACAAAATGGAGAGGATCATGAAGAGTCTGTTTGTTACCCGGATCTATTTTTGGCCGCGGTTTCACCTGCAAGTCAGCTCGGCACTGGAGAGAGGGCCCCCGGAAGTCGTCGATATCCGTATCCCTCTAACACCGGCGATGGGTGCGATCCAGCGAGCGATTGTAGAGGTGATGGATGCTTGTTTGAAAGAACTTAGAAAGACAAACAAGGTAGATGTTGAGGATCTGACGGTGGAGAATGGACTGTTTAAGTCCTTCGACGAGATCATAAAGCGACAGCTAGATCCGATCTGGCACAACATTGGATGGAAGACGAAGCAGCTCGTCGCGGACTTAAGAACTCTGCGTAAATTGGCAGAGTATCTTATCCGTTATGACGCCGTCACATTCCTCAGGTACCTGGATGCATTGCGTGCATCTGAGAGCATACATGCAGTCTGGATTCTGGCAGATCCAACACACAGGATCTTCGAGGTGGCCAAACGGCGCGTCTATCAGTGCCTTTTGTCCTCCACCGTGGCGGGGGTGGTGACGGGGAGCAGTTCGCCAACGGCTCTGTCTTCGTTATCCTCGGGTGTGGTGCAGGCACAACCAGAGGGCAGGATTGGCGCAGGGGGAGAGGGAGGGGGAGGAAGGATGCTGAAAAGAGGGAGGGGTGCAGGTGATTATGGAGGGGGTGGACGGGGGGCCAAGCGGTTAAACAGGGCGGCTAGTGGAGTGGTCGATGAAGGAAAGAGCACAGAGGCGGGTGGTCCACAAGAGGGGGGAGAGAGCGATGCGGAAGTGGTTATCTTGGATGAATTGGGGTGTGAGATTACAGTCATTGAGGACCGTAGTAGTGGTGATGGGTGCCGTCGTGGGGGTGTAGGAGATGACAAGGTCCCTAACGACAGGCTTGCTAAGGTAGGGCCAGAGCAGCAGCAGCAGCAGTCGTGTGCACGGCCACCGGCCAACGCTGGAGAGACAGGACCGGTGAACTTGGGAAAAGCGGAACTGAATTTGATTCTGGAAGAATCGCCGAAATGGTCTCTGTTGCGAGAAGTTTTGGAAGAGATCCAAGAGGAGAGGGAGAAGGAGGCAGCCATAGCTGCAGTGGCAGAGTTCGAACAACAGTCAGCTGCGGCGGCAGCAGCAGCAGCAGCAGCAGCAGCAGGAGGAGGAGGAGGAGGATGTGAAGAGGAAAAAGCAGTGGAGGAGGTTGAGGCAATTGCAGAAGATATTGATATTATTATTGTAGAGCCTGTACCAGGGAGGACTGAGAATGAAGACGAAGGAAGTGCGGCTGCTCTCCCGCCAAAAGTTATGGGTGACACAATCGCCACTGATAATGGCAACACTGTGACGGATAGCGATGATCAGGATGCTTGTGCGACCGCCGGTGCGGTTTCCGCAGATGGGCATGGTCAGCGGAGTAACGCTGTCAATAACCACACAGGACCTGTGCTTATTGCTGCGAAAGATGAGCGAACGTGCATGCAGCTGCAGGCGTTCCTTGCGCGTGGAGGTAGGAAACTTTTGGAAGAGGAATGGGAAAGTTATCTGTTAGGAAAGGAGGAGGTGCTTCGTCAACGTGCTCGCAATAAGAAGAAACCTAATCATAGTAACAGCAGCGCCAGTAATACCAGTAACAATAGTAGTAGTAGTACTGCAAAGAAGCCCCCATCAGCCCCAGTCGCGGGCCCAATGGGAAGGAGCGGGAGTCGAGCAGAAACTACTTTTGCCGTTGTTGGCCCCGGCCATCTGGAAAACGATGCTTTGCTTGCTGCTGTATCGGAGGTGCATCGCCGGCAGAAACTGGCAATGGCGGCGGAGGATGGAGGGGCAGCTGGCCAAACGTCTAGCGGGAGCCGGCAACAAACAGGTGCCGGTTCCAGTGAACAGCAGATTGGCCCCGCGGGTGGTCCCGCTAGACGGGGTAGAAGAAGCGGTAGGGGAAGGGGAGGAGGTGGAAGGGACAGGACAAGGAGAGGAAGAGGAACGAAGTCTTCGGGTGAACCTCAAGGAGGAAGAGGAGGAGGAGGAGGAGGAGGAGGAGGAGGAGTGTCTCTTATACACATCTAGATGTGTATAAGAGACAGCCTTAATGATGCTCTTCTTTTTTTTCTTTCCTTTTTGGGTTTAGGGAAATCTTGTGACTGAATGTGGAAAAAAGAAAAATTACGCTCAAGCTTGTCCCCCCCCCCCTCTCCCCCCTCCACCCCCCCCTCTGGTATGAGTGCGTGCGCTAGGGCAGGTCAAGATTCCTGGACAACTGAATTTAATTTTTCGAAATGAGAGTAAGAGCAGTGCAGTCCGTCGTGTGACGTGGCAGCACAAGGACACGTCAGCATGCCACCTCGTTCATGTTATCTCATCTCATCTCATCCAGTAAAGAAAAATCGAATGCAATCCAATCCGCCGATTGCAGATTGCATTCGCCAGGGAACGTGAATTTTCATGGTAGATTCCATGAATGTTCCTAAATTGCATGCATGGGTTCGAGTAATGTGAAAAGCGCAGGTCGGAATTTGTCAATCTATCTGCGCGTGTGTTCTCTACTCAACCCCGTGCAATCTATGAATCTTCCATGAAGATTCACTTTCCCTTCCGAGTGCCTTCTATGCAGTTCCCCTCTCCCCCTCTCCCCCTCTCCCCCTCTCCTCCTCTCCCCCTCTCCTCACCTCTCCACCTCTCCACCTCTCCACCTCTACACTTCCAATCCTCTCTCATCATCTCTCATCCTCTCTCATCATCATCCATCTCTGAATCCCTCCTAGTGTGTACTATATGAACACATCTCATCCACCTCTACACCTCTACATCTCATCCACCTCTACACCTCTACATCTCTACATCTCATCCACCTCTACACCTCTACACCTCCACAATCCCAATCACGTCTCATTATCATCTCTCATCATCATGTATCGTAATGATCGTCGGAATTTGTCTGTAGGTTTACATGCCCGCCGGTATCTTCCGTAATGTTGCATTGAATCTTCTATGAAGTTTCGCATCTCTCCATCTCTACACCTCGGATCACGTGCGGGCACCTTTTCAATCATCTTTCATCTCTCATCTCTCATCTCTCATCCTCTTCTCCTCTTCTCCTCTTCTTTTGTTCTTTGCTGATCTCTCATTCTGTTTCATCAGCTCCGTCTCGGCGAGCAATAAAACAAAATCATCTTCATGGCTGACGTACCAAATCTGACGTGGCATGCCTGACAGGACGTATCTGACGTGGCATGCCTGACGCAGCTTATCTTCCTTTATGACGTGGCATATCTGACATGGAACAGACGCTTTTCTTGGACGTAGGATGAGTCAACGGACCAACAGCGCAACGAAACCAAACAGATTAATAAACGAATCGCGGAACGAACCAACGAACCAAGGAACGAACCAACGAACCAAGGAACGAACGGAACGACTGAAGCAAGGAACAAACCGAACAGATCAATTAACCAAGGAACGAACGAACGACTGGACCAAGGAACAAACGAACGACTGAACCAAGGAACAAACGAAGGAACCGAACAGATTAATAAACCAACCATCGAACGAACAACGGAACCAAGGAACAAACCAACGACCCGAACAGATCAATAAACCAACCATCGAACGAACGACTGAACCAAGGAACGTACCACCGAATGAACCAACGAATGATGAAGGTCGACGCCTGTCGCGTGCGTGCGCATTTGGGCCTCCATTGGCGACAGCTCTGTCCGTAATGACATGTCACTTATGTTTTCATGACAAGCGTATCCAGTTTTCCTCTGCTGTAATCGAAGGGAAAACTGAATCGTTTAATCGTCGTCTAATGTCTTATCAATCTTTGCTAATCTAATCTGCTTCTAGTCGAAGGTCAATGTACTACCTTTCTAGGGGGTATATCTAGTGGGGATCTCGATCGGGTACCGCTGCTGATCGAATTCATGTTGAGCAGTATGCAAAGTGGTAGAGAGGCCCCTAATCTTTCCTTCTCTCTCTCTCTCTCTTTTACCCCCCGGTCGCCTGACTGTCCTTGCCAGTTGTGTGCCGATGATGACTAATTAGCGGAGCACTTTTAGAGCGGGTGCAGCTAGTAATGATCTATCTATCTATTTTTCTATTGAACAGTATCTTTCTGTTTATCTATCTATCTATTTATCGATCTATCTATCTATCTATCTATCTATCTATCATGTATCTAAAGATAATCTATCTATAGATCATCTTCTTTCTGTACATTATCTACATAATCTATCTATAGATCATCTTTCTGTACGTTTATTTATATATCGTCGAACAGAGCTGCCCGGTAAACCGTGTTGGCAGAGAGGGAGGGGAGGGAGGAGAGGACAGCAAACGAGGGAGGGGATGTGACAAACTGTTTCGTCGGAGTTTCACCTACCGACTCATCAATCAGGAGGAGGCTGAACCCTCCCTCAACAGTCTGTAGAATCCCCTAACTGACTGATTACACTGTAAGTGATCATCCACCTTAACCCCAGTCCGCGGTTGTGGTTAAGCATCAACGACTGCCCGACAACTGATAACCCTGAGGTGGTGGGGACCACCAACCACTGAATGATAGTCTGCTTAGATTTTCGTCACAGTTACCTTGAGGGCAGTGGTTGGTGGTCCCCACCACCTCAGGGTTATCAGTTGTCGGGCAGTCGTTGATGCTTAACCACAACTGCGGACCGGGGTTAAGGTGGATGATCACTTACAGTGTAATCGGTCAGTTAGGGGATTCTGCAGACTGTTGAGGGAGGGTTCAGCCTCCTCCTGATTGATGAGTCGGTAGGTGAAACTCCGACGAAACAGTTTGTCACATCCCCTCCTTCGTTTGCTGTCCTCTTCTCCCTTCTCCCTCTCTGCCTACGGTTTACCGGGATATATATAGATAATGGTTCGTGCTAGCCGTCCGGCTGAATGCTGCACTAACGCAACTCTCCTTGGGTATCC